GCAGCGCGGCCCCTCCGCACCCCGAGGTGCCCCCGGCTGTGCGGGAGCGGGGCCTCCCGCTGAGGTGCTCCCCCTTCCCCCCAAGGGAAACGGGGTCTGTCTGGGGTGAGGGGGTCCCGCGCGGGGGTGGTGAGGGACGGCGGCCCCTGGTTGGGCTGCGGGGCGGGGGGCTGGCAGGCGGCCCGGAGAGCCGTCCCCGCGCTGGTTCTGGACGGAGGCCGGAGCCGGGCGCTCTGGAAAGCCCCTTGCCCGGGGTGGGGGGGCGGGTGGCAGCAGGAGCCCAGTCTGCCCGGCCCGCCGTGCGTGCGCTAAGAGGGGTCTGTCAGCACCCCCACGCACACAGCCTGGCTGGGAAAGGCCTGCGGGGTCCCCGTGATCCCTGTGTTTTCTCTGTTGTAGTGGGGGACGGTGCTGCTTTGAGCAGGGGATTGGCCTAGCCGACCTCCTGAGGTCCCCACCAGCCCTCCTCTTCTGTGATTCCAGTAGGCCTCGCGGCAGGGAGGCGGCTTGTTGTGCTGAGGGTGTTTTCCGCAGTCTCAGTTGTCCTCCGGTCCCCCCCCCCCCCATCAGGGGGATCTGTTCCTCCTTTTTTCCTTCCCCTCCACGCGACTCCACCGAGGATCTGGGGGGGCTTTTCTGGTTGAGGAGAGCACCCCGGTGGGTGATATTGCGAGGAGCGCTGGTCCCCTGGAAGTGGTGCTGAGAGTGCAGCGAATCCAGGCGGACTGATTAGTGCCTTTTGCTCTTCCGGACTGTGAGAGGGGTCTGTGTGCGTTGTTGCTTTCCAGTCCCCGGGACCTTCGGGGAGACAGCTCTGTCTTGATTTCTTATAAATTGCATAGAGAGGAGCGGGGAAGGAGAGAGGGGGAGAGAGAAGAGCAAACCAGTGAGCAAGTGAGTGAGCACACTTCTCTAAAGTTTTTGTTTTGTCTGCTCTTTCACAAAAACAGATACAAAAAGACAAGACAGGGAAGTTTAGCAAGGCATGGGAGAAAGCATGTGTGATTTCCAGCATAGACTGTGTGGAGCAAGGGAAATGATTCAGAATTGCATCTCTGGGCACATTCTAAATTTATGTCAACAGTGAGTAATCTGTAAAGCTGAGGAGGCCCCTTGTTGCTTTAGACTATCAACAAAATGATGAAAAAAACATGAAAGGCAGGTTTTAAGGGAAAGAAAAGGATGATTTCTCATGGGAAACCTGTTTTGGTTGGTTAATAAGAAATTTTTAATTTAGGAAAGAAATAACTGCTGGTAGATCTTTTAGTTTTTACTTTACTGTTGTACTTAATCATGGTAAGATTTGGTTCAGATTTTGGTTTGTGCATGTCACCTGAAGTACTTATTGCTGATTACAAAATGGGGTGAAGTGTATTTTTAATGGTCAGATTTTTATTGGTGCTCTTTTTTCTTTTCTTCTCTTTTTTATCAGAATTGCTGTTATGGCAACTCAAGTGCTCGGCCAGTCTGGTGGCAACGGCTTGTTTCCTGGCAATGCTAACATTGGTATGGCATTGTCTAACGACATGTACGACTTGCACGACCTTTCTAAGGCTGAGCTGGCTGCTCCTCAGCTCATTATGTTGGCAAATGTGGCCTTGACAGGAGAAGTCAATGGCAGCTGCTGTGATTACCTGGTCGGAGAGGAGAGGCAAATGGCTGAACTGACGACAGTGGGGGAAAGCAACTTTTCAGACAGCGATGGAGAGGGCATGGAAGATGCACAGGGAATGGAGAGTGACCCTGATGGACCGGAGAACATGGAATTAGGAACTCTTGAAATGCCTAGCGTGGAAACCCAGGATCCAGCAGCTTGCCCGCCTCCTGAGACTTGCAGCCTAGACAAGGACCAGTCATTGGAAGCACCAAGTACTCCAGAGGGCACAGAGGACAAATGCAAAAACTTGAAGAGCAAACCATTTCGTTGCAAGCCATGCCAGTATGAGGCTGAGTCTGAGGAGGAATTTGTGCATCACATCAGGGTTCACAGTGCTAAGAAATTCATCGTAGGAGAGAATGCAGAGAAGCAAGCCCAAGTGAAAGAGTCTGATTCTTGTACCACAGAAGAGGCAGATTTCTCTAAGGGGCCTATTCGATGTGATCGCTGTGGCTATAACACTAACAGATATGATCACTATTTGGCTCACTTGAAACACCACAACAAAGCTGGTGAAAACGAGAGAGTCTATAAGTGCACCATATGCACTTATACGACAGTCAGTGAATATCACTGGAAGAAACATCTAAGAAATCATTTTCCTAGGAAAGTGTACACATGCTCACAGTGCTCCTATTTTTCAGACAGGAAGAATAATTATATTCAACACATTCGAACTCATACAGGTAAGTCTTTCACCCCTGTTTGGTTTAAACCCAGTGCAAGTATTAAAGAACCTGCTGAATGAAGGAAAGCGAGGCTTTGTGTTTGCAAAGTTTGCTCCACCGTAATAAGCTTTGTTCTGAATTGCACTTCTGTAACGTTACCAGGTTAGCGTCTATCTACTTGGAAGCCTGTATCTGATATGACTTATACTTTGTAATCATGGAAGACTCAGGAAGCATATCCAGTATCAGGAATCCCAGGGGAGAGTAAGAGCGCTGTATCTGTTTTGTTCAGTAATACTTCATGATGAATAGGTGTGAATATGTAAGAGTAAAATGTTTTATTGCAGTAGACATTTCTGGGCCTGCTGGGTGAATGCCATTTTTCTTTCAAACAAAATTGATAATAATTTTTTCAAATGCGTGCAAGTTGATTAGATACTTTGGAAAATTTAACCAGATAAAGCTTGACTGTTTTCACAGCAGGGTGTATTAATGGAAGATGTGAACTGATGCATACCTACCTATGCAAGAAACCCTATCCTTACACCTCATGCCCAGTACCAAGTCTGGGCAGAGTTCACTGTACATGAATCTCATTAATATAAAAATATATATATTTTTGTCAAGTAGGTATCTCACATACGAGATTTGGAGCCAGTTTATAATATTCCACTGATTTGAAAAGGAGAAAAGCGGGCCACAGGTTACTGGAGAGGCAGGGTCTTCACGGAGTGGCTTCCAGCACAAATCAGAATAGAAGCTGATCTGAAATATTTCACTTTTAGAAGCGGCTCCTAAGCATCAACAGCCATGTACCAGTTAGCTCTGAGGTAGATCGTGACATCAGTCCGATAGATCTTAGAGAAGTAAGGCTGGAAGGGACCTCAAGAGACCAGCTAGTCCAACCAGGGATCGAACTTACAATGGTAGTGTTATTAGTACCACACTCTAACCAACTGTAGATGCTGTTTATTACACTGTTTAGCAAGATGGACACTGCTGGCATTGGTTTCAAATATAGGGTCACTTAATAGTTTCAGATTCAGTTCTGGGGAGTTTGGGGATAGATCTTCCTTCTTTGCTGCTCTCTCATGGAAGGGGGCTCACAGCTAGCTAGACTAGTTGGTGGTCTTCTCATTATGCCCTGGAGAATCTTTCCAAGAGCAGCTTTAAGTTCCAGGTTCATGGGGTGGGGCCCTCTGGTATATCCCATTGGCTTGACACCTTTTCTTTTTACCTGGTTCCTATTACTGGGGGCAGTGCTGGGTGAACAAAATGCATAGAACATTTCTCCTTTAAAGTCACTGCTGGTGACTCAGGTGAAATAAAATGGTCTAATTTGTTTCATCTTAATCCTCTTCATGGTTCATCATGGTTAGAAATCTTGTTTAGAAGTTTGGGACTGGACTCCCGAATGCTGTGGATCAGTGCTAGGTGAACTGGTGAAGCTATGTGAGGAAGCTTTGCGGTGCTGACCTGCCATTATGTTTCTTGTTAAAATGTGCTCATGTTTTTAAAATGGGTGGAGGGTGGGTTTAGAGGACACCATCATCTCCCATATTGCACTTCTCTCTGAAAATATTCCACTTACTGTTTCAAAGAGCACAGCTAAAATTATTACAACTGAGAGATTAGGAAGAAAAAAATAACCTTTTTATTTAAAAAAAATAATCTTTTTTAATAACTCACCTTTCAGCTTGCTTGTTTTATCAAAGTCTCTGTTTTGTGTGGATCTTTGCTAGGTCACCAGGAGAAGAGGACTTTGTAGCAATTGGGAAATATGAGTACAGAACCCACCTAACTGTCTTTATTTTACATACATGTCCCTTCAAAGTTTGCCCACTCCCATTCTGAGGCTGCACTTAATGTAGGCCTTGGCTCTAAGCTCTCAAAAGCTCTCATTGAGTTAGAGACCAAGCATTTTATGGTTTCTAATCAAAAGTGAGCAAATGCCTTTCAGCACCTCAGTCTACAGCAGCAACAGAACACAGGGAGGGGAAAGAAGGAACACAAAAAAGAAATAATAAAAAAGAAGCCTCAGTCATTTTTCATGCTGAGGTTAATCAAACTAAGCCCCATTTTCTAATGTTCCTGCCTCTGACAAACAGTATGTTGTAATTATGAGTCATTGTGTTTTGGACTGACACGTGTTTGCCTTTGGTTCATCAATAAATTAACTAGGGAAACTATTATTACAAAAAAAAAATCAAATAAAACCCCACGTGGAGTTGTTCAGTTGCCAGTATTCTTAGTTACTGATTAAAACTGAACCTTGTAATTACATCTAGCCTAGCTGGTTGCTTTCTTCACAGGGTGTTAACTCTTAAAATGTAAGCAAGAAACCTGAACTATGCTTTTTGCGCACACTATTCCTTTTTGGATTTTTCAGATATTTAAGCATGTCAGATTTGTACATGCATGTGCGTGTGTGACGTTAAAGGAAGTAGTTTAAAAAAATGAGTAAATTATTCCTAGATTTTGTTGCCTGCCAGGTTAGTTTATGCTGATTGCTACGTATTTGTTTTATATTTTCTTTTTAACTTTGACTTATGATAGTCTACGTATGTTTGGACTACTGTCTCTATTAACACTATAAGAACTTAAGAGGATCCATCTTAAAATTTTAATCGGATTTTTCTTTATTTGCACATTATTGATTCTATAATTTCTTCCCATATATTGTCTTATGTAGCTGGAGTGGATGATTTGTAGTTGGTACTTTCATTTTCTGGTGATTACTAGGAATTAAAATTTTAGGTGGAGGAGTTTCTCAGAGACTTGACATGCCTTCATGTACAGAGAAAGGCACGTGCAGGAATTCATTAGCATCTTTATTGCAAGAGCAATACAAACTCATGGAAAATAGACCGAACCAGAATAACCTTCTGATAAATTCAGCCGGCACACGGTTAGAAATCTGAAATATTTTAATTGGATTAGACATCTCTCTAGGTTTGCAGTGGTTGTGTCTTCATTGCAGAGTTATCTGGTATGTAAGCCCTGGGTTTACCTAACTTTAGTTTTAACATTCATGCTCTAAAACTGTACTAGAAGTATGGTCTTTACAGTAGTATGCTACTTGTCCATGGGCAGAAGGGCCTGGGACATATCCTTTGCCGTAGAATAAGCCACTCTGATTTTTCTCGGTGAATTATTAAACAATTTGTCTTCTTGGGTGTGGGAAGGGTAGATTGTGGGAAGTCAGTAGAGAACTCACAGCATTTCAGATGGGATACCTTTATCATCCAAGATGTAAAGTGCATGGGTTGAACAGTCTGAGGGTATGATCCCAATCTGGGGAAGGCATGAGGACAAGTGGCTACTCTACTTCTTTTGTTCTGGGGTTGGGAGCGGGGACAGGGTGGGAATGGAGCATTGAGGAAAGACTCCCCATACTTCCCCCAGACCGGGAAGTCTTTTTCCTGTAAATCCTCTTCCCTCTTGTAGATTGGACCAGGAGGGGAGTGGGGCAATGGGGGGTTTTCTCAGGAAAACTTATTGGGACTCAGGGAGCAGCAGCAGCTCAACTCCTCCATGATCAAGAGGAGTCAAGCTACAGGGAAATGTGCTACCCACCATCCCCAAACCAGAGTCCCTGGTCTGGAAAAAGCACAGGGGAAGCTGCAAAATAGGGAACACTACTGCTCAACCCCTCCCTGTTCTACTTCAGATCACAGAGGAGTTGAGCAATATACAGGCATTCATTCTTGTGAAACAATCTCTCTCAGGGGAGATCTTCCAGGCATCAACCTGGAAGATCTTTCTTCTGAAGGGGACACATTTTCTCAAGGAGAAATTGAATGAATACTTGTAGGCTCCTAGTTTCTACCAGAAGAGAGCAGTTTTTCTTCTGGTAGAAACATAATGCCTGTATGTGGCCTGAGTGTGGGTAGCATGTTGACTGTTCAGCCTTTACCTTCAGGTGGCTCAGCTAGCTTGAGTCTAACATCCAGCCACACTTGGGTCAGAGCCAGACTGGAGCAATACCCAATAAAGGGTTTGAGTTAATGAGTTAATTCTTCAGTGAAGTCCAGCGTGACCTGGGCTGCTGGGTCACATATGTGCTAATGAAAACCCTGTCCTTAGGTATGGAACTAAACTATACTATTTAAAGAAAACATTGACCTGTATTTATAGAATTTTCCAGAACTGTGCTGCTGTATTAAATATCTGAAGTACTTTTCAAAGCACAACTGTTTCTGTGAAGAAACTAATATTTTGTACCACTGAAAGAAAAGCTTTACATAAAAGTATAATTGTAGCCCTTTCTGCATTTATGCACATGAGCAGTCCTATTGATGGCAGTGGGGCTCTTCATGTGCAAGAAGTCACGGATCTGCCTAAATGTTTGCAGACCAGGGGTTGAATTTTCAGGATTTTATTTTTATAATGGGATTTACAAGTCAAATAGAAGCCCTATGATTAACAGTAGTTGATAAAAGGAGCCTTTAAAGCCTAGTTAATGATAATATGTAATTTAAAATTTCATTGCTGTTTTTTTCATATGAATGTTAAAATAACCTACTTGAATCATTTTAAATTGCTGCACCCTGCATAAAATTTTGGGTTTTTTTGTGGGGTGAGGGGGTTAATTTGTAAT